TTCAGTGGATGCTTTCATTATTCAATAACAATTTAAATGGAATATTGGCTGATGAAATGGGACTGGGAAAAACAATACAAACAATCTCATTGATTGCTTACCTCATGGAATACAAGGATGTGACTGGACCTCATTTAATAGTTGCTCCCAAGGCAGTACTTCCAAACTGGATTCATGAATTTACAACATGGGCCCCAAGGTACGGAAGAACATTACCCTCAGTTCCCTAGCACATTCTTTTCATTCTCTCTGCTTTACGTATCTGTCTTTGTAGTTGTTAAATTGCAATATTCAGATTGGAATGACAAATTTTTATCCTAGAGATATGCACGTGTTTATATTCAGAATAGATTCACATTGGAATCGTTCTTGTTTTTGTTTCTTATCCAGTATCGCTGCTGTTCTTTACGATGGGCGTCAGGAGGAGAGAAAGGCTATAAAGGAGGAGCTATTGAGTGAAGGAAAATTTAGTGTCTTGATTACACATTATGATCTCATTATGAGAGATAAATCATTTTTGAAGAAAATACACTGGTATTATATGATTGTTGATGAAGGCCATCGGCTGAAAAATCGTGATTGTGCTCTTGCACAAACACTTGCAGGGTATGATACTAATTCCTGAAATGCCTTTTTTCTCGTAGTTTCAAATACTATTTCGTATCTGAGCTTACAATATATTCAAGTAACATATGTTAAGGTCCTTTTTTCTCTCTCTGATATACACTTTTTTCCGAGAGAGCTTGTCAAGCTAGTTCGTTTTTAACTGTAGGAGATACTTTTCTCAAAATCGTGCCTTAATGTTAAATCTCTACCCTTCACGTATTAAAATAGAAATTGGAGTTTTATGTATTTGAAACATTTCCTTTGCAGCTACTTTTCTCAAAATCATGCCTTAATGCTCCTTCAAATCTTTATCCATTATGCATTAAAATATAGAGTTCGGAGCTTTACATATTTGAAACGTTTCCTTGTTTGCAGCTACCAGATCAAACGTAGACTTCTTTTAACTGGTACACCTATCCAGAACAGTTTGCAGGAATTATGGTCCCTGCTTAATTTTCTCCTGCCGCATATATTTAATTCTGTCCAGAATTTCCAGGAGTGGTTCAATGCACCATTTGCAGATCGGAGTGATGTTACACTGACAGATGAAGAAGAGCTATTGATCATTCGCCGTTTGCATCATGTGGGCATTGTCTATTCGCTCTTCTCCATGTTTGAGTTAATATTTTATTTTTCTTTTCTTGTCTGCCTTTCTAATATATTTCTCTTTAGGTTATTAGGCCATTCATATTGAGGCGAAAAAAGGACGAGGTGGAAAAGTATCTACCTGAAAAGTCACAAGTCATACTAAAATGTGATATGTCAGAATGGCAGAAAGTATACTATCAACAAGTAACTTCTATTGGCAGGGTTGACACGGGTATGCTGCACATGAAACTTGCTATATATTTTGGTTGGAATATCTTCTTGCCCTTCTGAACTTATGTACCTTCTTTGATTACAGTTCTTGTAAGTTCTTTTACTGCATTAATTAACAACTATTCGCTTGGCAGGTTCGGGCAAATCGAAGTCCCTACAAAATTTAACGATGCAGCTGAGAAAGTGTTGTAATCATCCATATCTTTTTGTTTTGGGAGATTATAATATTTGGCGCAAGGAGGAGATCGTCAGAGCTTCTGGGAAATTTGAACTACTCGATCGTCTGCTCCCGAAGCTACATAGAACTGGGCATAGAGTCCTGCTTTTCTCACAAATGACTCGTCTTATGGATGTTCTTGAAATTTATCTTCAACTCCATGAGTTTAGATATCTCCGACTTGATGGTTCGACAAAAACTGAAGAAAGAGGGTCTCTAGTGAAGCAATTTAATGCCCCGGACTCCCCGTTTTTCATGTTTCTCTTGAGTACTCGGGCGGGTGGTTTAGGTTTGAACTTACAGACTGCAGATACTGTTATTATCTTTGACAGTGATTGGAATCCTCAAATGGACCAACAGGCAGAGGATCGAGCTCACCGTATCGGACAAAAGAAGGAAGTAAGGGTGTTTGTCCTGGTTAGTGTTGGATCAGTTGAAGAGGTTATCCTGGAGCGTGCAAAACAGAAGATGGGGATTGATGCCAAGGTTATCCAAGCTGGACTTTTCAACACAACTTCAACAGGTTTGTTATTTCTATATATAATAACCTTGAATACTATGATGCCGTTTGGTTCAAAACTAGTGCTTGAATCCTTTATTTTAGTTTGTTCTTGAGAGGTTCGAATATACGACATTTTCTCGAGAACTCCGTCCCTTAGCTCTCAAATTTCCACCCTTAGTTTCTTGATGGCTTATTTACACTGCCTTCAGCTTTTGTATTATTGGTTTTCCATTCACTTCGATTCTCCCTCCATTTGTCTCTTCCAGCTCAAGACCGAAGAGAGATGTTGGAGGAGATTATGCGCAGAGGAACGAGCGCACTTGGCACTGACGTGCCAAGTGAGAGAGAAATCAATCGCCTTGCAGCTCGATCAGACGAAGAATTCTGGCTTTTCGAGAAAATGGACGAAGAAAGAAGACAGAAGGAGAAATATAGATCTCGTTTGATGGAAGAACACGAGGTACCTGAGTGGGTATACTCAGTACCCGACGGTAACGAAGAGAAGAACAAGGGTTCAGAAATTCTCAGTGTCGCTGGAAAACGAAGAAGAAAGGAGGTGGTTTATGCTGATACACTGAGTGATTTGCAGTGGATGAAAGCTGTGGAGAATGGAGAAATTCCAAACCTTTCTATGAAAGCAAATAGAAGAGAGACTCCCTCACGTGAAGGCAGTGTATCAACCAGCAATATTGTCAGCTCAAGGGCAGAGGATAAGCTGATAGAATACGATGATAACGTGCCTGTAACGAGCGAGGGAACAAGCGAAGACAATTCAGGTTTAGAACCAACCCCAAAGAGACCAAAGTCCGAAGGAGGGGTAAGTATTAGAAAACACGAATTCTTGGCCGAATCAGGAAGCGAATGGAGTCGATGCGTAATAACATGGAAAACACACAAGAAGAAGCGATCGAGCTATGTCCAAGGCTCCACAGATTCTAGACATAACTCCAATGGAAGAGGAAATGGATGGGCTTGATTATAGAGTCGAAACGTCAAGGGAGGCCTCGTAAATCGGAAAAGAGTGCCATTACTTCAGCTTCCTTCCAAGTTCAGCTCAGGAATTACAGATTTATCAGCTGCCTGATTGAATGAAGTTCTGAAGGAGAAGAAATGAATAACAGTGTGATCCTTTTAAAGCACAATGGCCAACTTCCATCCATCCAATGTGTTTGTAAAACTTGTGGTGTTTTGTAGGTGTAGTAGACATATTGATATGCATACTGTTCTACTGTTCTATATAAAGTCTCTTCATTAATTGTAGGCTTTGACCTGAAATGCTTAGAAAATCTTCCCACTTTTCCACAATTGCATTAAAGCTTTCAAATTTGGTTCGAGATATGAGGTTTGGATATGAGGTTTGGTTAGGACGAATATGGATTTCCAGAGAACGAATGCTTGATCATTTCGTGTAAATAAAAAGGAAATAAGAGGAATCTCCTAGTGTACTCAATTTAGACCTCAAAATTAAAGCTAGCTAGTAGGCAAGTCAAGTATAAGGCTATTTCTCTCCATCTTTAGATATCTAAAGAGAGATAGAGATCCGTTGTGTGATCAACCCGACTGTGTCTTACATGTGCTCTACAGGCCGCACTCCATCTTTCTTCTCATCGAGCCCATTTTTCTTTTTTATTTGGAAGACAGACGTTGCGTTTGAAAGACATGGTTTTCAATATGTCTCTAGATAGGGTCCCACTAGTCTGGCTAGCTAGTGAGTGGTTCTCTCGGACGAGAAATGGGCATCTCTCGCAACGTGAATTGCATTGTTTGCTAGAAGTAAAAGATTTGAGAGTTCAAGTTGAAAATACGTGCATAGATAATGGTCTAATGACAAGGGTCGGGGAAGCTTGAGATTCTATGACTGTCATTTTTAAATTATCTAATATGTATTTAAATTTCAATTTTGTATCGAAAACGACTAATTTAACATAAAACAAAAATTAAAAATATAATAATAATAACGGCCATGTCTGACCTGACTCATGATTTCCCGCGTTGATGAAATGGATACTCAAACGAATTCCTTCCTCTTCCCCAACTCCGGCATCAGACTCCGCCGCCGTCCTTATTCCTTTCTTGCACGACGATTTCTCCTTCGGCCATGGCCTATTTCCTCCTTCTCATTCCCTCAGAGGTGCGCCATTTTTAACCTTTATCTCTGCTCTCTTCTTCTCCCTGGTCTTACTTTCCTACTCTGTTTTCAACTTTTTCATCGATTATTGACTTCCCTGCTCCGACGAAACTCGACGGCCACATCTGGAAACCTGACGACGAAAGTGAAATCAACAGGAACATCACTGACTCTGTTCTTGATCCTACGCTTTCCACTGTCCGCTCCTTTCCTAGGGCTATTAATTGGAAATTTTTCTATGTTGTGGGACCTGTCTTTCGTACCGGAAAGTATAGGGTTTGAATGACGTATTACTACGGCGGAGTTAATGGCCTTGATTCGCCGCCGGTTTTCGATCAGATTGTTGGTAGGACTGTTTGGAGCGTGGTGAGTACTTCTGGGGACTTTGGCAGGGGATTGCGTCGTATTACGAGGGTGTTTTTGAGGCCAAGGGGAAATCCATGAGTGTGTGCATCGGCTCCAATACGTATACGGATCCCGACCCCCTTTTACTTCTGCCTTGGAGGTTGTGTTGTTGGGGGATTCTCTTTATAATATGAGGTATTTTGTTAACTGCGGCTTGCGTTTGATTGGCTTGTGTTTGATTGGAAAGTGTCAAAGACTTATTGTCTGTGGCTGTGTGTTGGATGTCCCGATCATACTTTGTATAAGACGTATTGTCCTTAGGTTTTTACTTTGTATAAGACCGTTTCAAACCTCTTTTATTTGCTTTAATTTGCAGATAGGTTTTTACTATTTCTCTCATGAAAATATAGTGGTGTATGTGACTGAGGCTCGATCATTGTCTGCAACTTACGATTTGCATACACCTAACTTGTTCACCGGCAAGAGAGGAATTGTGACACTAGACACAATTTTGGGTACACTGGATCGAACTTACGGTTTGTTTTGGAAAAGGGGAAAAAATTGAATGCTTCTTTTGACTTTCCATAAAGGGGGCTCTACAATTTGACATTTATTTCTGGCATGAATTGACTGTTTTTGGTGTAAACATGAGTAGCCAGGATTTATATATGACAACTAGCTTTCTTGGTTTTGCCATGTTTATGATTCTATACTTTAGCAGTAATGGGTAAACTTTGAAGAACAATCTCTTGAAATGAGATAAAAGTCAGAGGGGACTGAGTTGAATAGGTTTTTGTCATAATTTGTTGCGGTGCTCCAAATGTATTATCTTGCGTCTGTTTGCATTACTTTCTTTTCAAGTTTGATCACTTTTGGCAACCATTTGGGAATAACAGTTGGAACGTAACCAATAGAACTGTATCTGCCTCTAGTATATGGAATCTCGACCCGTCTAAGCTATTTGAAACAGAGGTAAAGAATGATAAGCTGGAACAATTGGAGGCCACATTGCTCTATACTTTGCTAATGATCATGTTGTTTTTGCAAGCCGGTGGCTCCCTCTCCCCAGTCAAGACTTGGCCCATTGATCCATGGTGGAAAACCTTTTCATGTTGTGCCCCTTGCAGCAAGAACTCTTGTAAGAGATGGTATGTAACTTCATTGTTTTTTGTTTGCTTTATACGTGTCTATGCGCACGCCAACCATCTTTCATGGAAGCATATGGGTCTATACCTAATTGCAGTTCATAGCTTGTTCTTGATTTTAGTGAAAGAGGAGATCAACTTGAACTTAATCATGTAATTAGAATGAATTCATTTTTGAGGCCTTGTGAGTGCTTATGCCATTTGTGAATGCAAGGGAAATTAAGCTAGAATTATTAAAGCATGGGGGAGTAAGGGAAGAGAAAATGACATATTAATTTACTAGCCACTGCTTGTTTGTGGTCCTTCATTTCATTCATGATTTGCACATGGATTTTCCTTTTCCTTTATAGTATGTCTGATCTTTCCATTGCTGGTTTCATGATGTTTATTGTAGGTTAGTTGTAGTCATCATAACATTGACTTGTCTACTAATCATGGCTATCAATCTTGCGGGAGTAACAAGGAGTCTAAAAAATTCCCAACCTGATTGGATTGGAGATCCATGCTTCAACCATCAGTATCGCTGGGCAGGAATTACATGTTCTGAAGGCTCTTGAATTCGTGTGGTTACTTTGTGAGTTTGAACTCTTTATGGCTTTTAAATTCTATATTTCATATTCACTTCATGTTAACAAACTGCTTCCCTTTCCTGATTTCAGAAACCTTTTGAGTATGGACCTTTCAGGATCCTTATCACGTAGCAGTTCTTGACAGAGTATGCTCCCTGAATATAGTGTTTGACATTTATTTATCAATTTTGTTTCTGGATTCATCTGCTATCTCACTTGGCAGTTCTTGACAGGCATTTGGAAGATAATAACTTCAGTGTGGTGAGATTTCATTGTCACTTGGAACTTTGCCTTGCTTGAGGGAACTGTATGTGTACTTGTATGATTTTATTGCTAAAGATTCAGTGCTGTTCCTTGGCTCATGAAAATTATAGTAAAGATTGTTGTTTATCCTAAAATCTATAGTAAAGATTCAGTGCTGCAAAGTTCTTGATGTATAATTTTCATTCTTCTGATTGCATAGTAGAAATGTAGATCTTTTCAAGCCCACCGCTCATTATTTTATTCGTAAGTTAGGCCACATAATGACATAAGTAGTAGCCATGTCTTGTTTGGTTACTGCATGTTGATGAAAAGATGTAAACAATGCTTGTAGCTTCTGAGTTCAAAGTTGAGTTTGAGAGGCAAAAAAATTGGATGAATAACTAATTCTCATAATTGTTGTCCTCGCTTGGTCTGCATCCTTGATATATCATACAGTTTGATCAACGCTCCCATTTCTTTAAGTTTTGTAGGATTTTTCACCTTTTCTCTGCTATTTTGCTTCATCTTATATGCCTTTATCCTACTTATTCGTAAAGAAAATTTCTAAGAATTTGAAACTTTATAGTATCTTCAGTTGATTTCATGACTTGATGAACATTTTTTTATTGAATTGTAAATTTAACAGCAATTAATTAATCTGTTGTTCATTTGGCTTGATTTCCTCAAAGTCCTACTAATAAGGAAATACCCAAAAACTTTTGTACATTGGTTGATCAGATTTTTTCATGAAACCATGTATTGGGACCGCCATCCCCTTAGCAACTTTGTTTCTCTAAAGCTACTTGTTTGCTCGTGTAAAGAGTAGTGTTTGGGGAAGAACAGTTAAACATTTTGCCTTGTAAGTTCTTCAATGAAACTGCCCTACCCATTAGCCTTCTTTGTTGTAGTAAACTGTATGAGTTTCCATATCCGGATGGTTCAAGTGACTTTATTTATTGATTTCTTGTCCACGTTCAATCAGCCCATGTACTCACAGACCGAGACTACTGTTCTCCCATTCCTTAATTCTGTGCAATTATTGCCCATGTATTCTTAATTTATATGATTTTGAGCTTGATAAAGAATTCTCAGCTTCCCTATGTTTCCTGTATTAGGATGTGGTTCTGTTCCTCCCGTTGAATTCCCTCCCCTTGGTCGTTTACTTTAGTGGGTGTTATAGCTGATCCACTCTGTTTGTTGTTGCAGTCATCCAGGCTTAGCTGTATCAGTATGCTTCCTCTTCATTTGTCGCTTTTTCCTTGTTTCATCTGTACTCATCATTATTAAATCATTTTTCCTGCCCATCTGGAAGCCTCGTCTGATAGATTACTCTACCCACATCTCCTCTACATGAAATTAATTCAACTTTGAAACAAGCTTACTCTTCTGAATTAATGTCAGACGTGCAGATACAGCTTCTGCTTCACCTCTTCGGAATTCATAAATGGTGGGGGATCATTGAGCTCTCACATATTGTGTTACCTAAACTCATTGCTAGCAGATATTGTCCGTTTTGATCCATTATTATATCACTGTCAGCCTCATTGTTGTAAAACGCATTTGCTAGAGAGAGGTTTCCACACCCTTATAAGAGATGTTTCGTTCCCCTCCTCCCTAGCAGATGCGTTTTAAAACTGTGAGGCTGACGGTGATACGTAACGGGTCAAAGCAGACAATATCTGCTAGCAGTGGGTTTGGGCTGTTACAAATGGTATTAGAGACAGACATCGGGCGTTGTGCTAGTGTGGACACTGGGCCTCCAAAGGGTGGATTCCCATTGGTTGGAGAGGAGAACGACGCGTTCCTTATAAGGATGTGGAAACCTCTCTCTAGCAGACGCATTTTAAAACTATGAGGCTGACGGCAATACATAACAGGTCAAAACAAACAATATCAGCTAGCGGTGGGTGTGGGTGGGCGGTAATCAAAGATCAAACAATATCTAACAGAAAGCAATTCAGGTTCCTGCATACATGTACCTACCCATTTATTTGAATCATTTAACTATGAAATCTAATGCTTTTTTTTTTTAAAGAATAATGAACTGTTTTAACAACTGAAGATAATCTTGGGCCCAGGTTCCATTCTGAAAGCTGCTATTGGATTGTAATGAAATGTGGGTGACCCACTGATCCGTTGATGCTGCATCCGGCATGTGACGTTGAACTGTTCACTTCCAAATTTTGCTATTCAGGAGGACAAAGACGAAGTGTACACCAAAAAGGTATGTCGAACCAAAAAAGCATAAGATGATTAATCAAGGAATGCCAACAAACAAAAACTAGAGGTCAGCATGTACAAACGTAGATTATTAGATCCACCGCCATAATAACCAACATTAATGCATACACAGACGGAAAGTTTAAAATTGTCAAGAAATGTAACAATAGAGAGAGGGAGATTAACATGTTGGATAAACTTGATGAGATCTTGAGCTGCTGACTTTAGCTACTAATTTCGTCTTTTTATCTATCAAATCTTCCTTTCTTAAGTGGGAATAAGGGTGGCAAAACACTGCTCTTCAGCTGTGTGCAGATTGGCACATTAATCATAGGCCCTATTCTTATACTGCCTGATCTTGTCCTTTCCAAACCCTTCTTTATCCTCTTAATGTTCTTCTCTTTGTTTCTTGTTGTCCCTTCCTCTGTTTTGGGTGCATCAGCCATCGACTTGGAAGAAGACGACGAAGACGAAGAAGAAGATGGTGATAGCGCAGACGACGCGCGTTGTTTCTTCAACCTCAACAATTCTTTCCACAGAACAGTGCATTTTGGTGGTCTCGGTGACGGGTCGTCGTCGAGTAACCAATTCACTTTGTTCTCTGCCTTCTTGTTTACCTCTATGTCCACCAAGCCTTGTTTATCTACATCTTTTGAAGATTTCAGACTGATTTTGTTAAGCCTCTCTGCTTGCTGCATTTGCCAAAAGGGAAGAAGCTTCCCGTCAAAGAAGAGCTCATCAGCTGTAATCATGGAGTGGCTACTAACTTTATTAGAAAGAAACTCAAAATCAGCACTCCATGCTAGCTTCTCTGATCTGTCCTCCTTCTGTCTCTCAGAAATCTCTTGTTCTCTCTCTAGATGTGAATTTGGAGTGATGGAAATGAAGTCGTTTTCATCAAGAAACTCAGAAGAGAAAGATATCCGAGGACTGGAATTTGGCTCTGATGAGGCTGATCCATGAACACTACAACCACTGCCTATTGAAACCATTTTTTTCTCTCTAGGTGGGTGTTCCTGTTTTCCCTCTAGGTAGGTGTTTGGATTCCGGGAAACGGGGAAAGAAAAATGATTGTGTCAGAGATGGGAAAGTTGCATAATTGAGCTGAGTTTGCTTGCAAATTGGGGATTTATAGATAGAAGCATTCAAGGTGTTGGCAAATTTGTGAAGGAAAAGTAGCTGTTTGAAGGAGGGAGGGGAGAGAGATTATTAAAGGTGTAGGTTAAGGAGTTGAGTTTAATGATATGAAAAGCCAACAGCACATGGACACCTACTCCACGTCAGCTTACCTGGCAAAAAGACCCTCTTTACCCAATGTAATTACTATTCTCTTCCACGTCACCGACTAGCGATCAATCCGTTTGAATGATCTAGGTTGTTGTGTTTATCTAAAGGCTTATATTCACGGATTAAATATGAGTTCTTTTAGTTACTAGCTAATGAGGCAATGATATCTTACCATTTTAACCTTTTCTCGGTTGTCAACCGAAATCTGGTCGTCGTTCATAATTGTCTCGTTTATTTAAGCTTCAAGGATAAAAGACGGTATACCCTACAAAACTATTAATTAGCTACTAATGAAGAAGACATTGGTATCAGTCGAAATCTTGTTGCCGTTTATAACGCTGTCTCATTTATTTAAACCTCAAGGATAAAAGACGGTATACCCTACAAAACTATTAGTTAGCTACTAATGAAGGAGACATTGATATCTGACTACTTCAACATTTTCTCGGTATCAGTCCAAATCTTGTTATCATTTATAGCTGTCTCATTTATTTAAACCTCAAGGATAAAAGATGGTATAAACCTCAAGGATAAAAGATGGTATACCCTACAAAACTATTAGTTAGCTACTAACAAATGAGGTAATGATATCTAACCACTTTAACCTTTTTTCGGTAATCAGTCGAAATTTTGTCGTTTTTATTTAAACCTCAAAGATAAAAGACGTTATATCCTACAAGTGTTCGTGTTCGTGTTCGTGTTCGTGTCAGTGTCAGTGATGCCATATTAGAATCCTCCTCCAAAAGCTTCCTAAATTTGGCTAAAAGCTATAAAACATGGAGGATAAATGGGGAGAAAAAGGTAATTTTAATTTTTTTATTTATAATTTTCAAGCAGTGGGATTTTTAGTTCTACATTATTCAATTTACTGAGACTGCCCTTCTTGACCCCCTCTCTTCTCATGGTTTTTTATGCCATTTTCCACCCCAACCAAGGGCTTTATTGTCATTATACTTCAAATTTAATTATATGTCCTTTTGCTCTCTTATTGGAAGGAGACATTAATATTACAGCTTTTTGTTTGTTATAATGCAGAGAGTATAAATTTAATTATTAAATTAAATCTATAATTTCGAAGCCTTTTTTAATTTGAAGTATTAATGGTTGGTCAAAGTCAACTCTTTTGGATAATGTTCGGAACATTTGAAATATACACGTAAACGGAAACTTGATTTTGTGGGCCCTTAGTGGGCCCTGACCCTGAACAGATAGCCCAAAACGAAATTAAAAAAACATTGGCGTCGCCCGGATTCGAACCGGAGACCTTCAGTGTGTTAGACTGACTTGATAACCAACTACACCACGACACCAGTTGTTGGGGCTTATTTATTTATAATTATTCAAAATAATTAAACCACTTTCCATTTAATTGTAGTTTAAAGAATTTATGATGATCGATAAAAAAGAGAAAAATAAATAATAATAATAACAACAAATCTATAGAAAATAAAATAACCGAGTAGGTCGTTAAATTGACGGGAGTGAAAATTTTACGACTTTATTTAGTTAGTTGTGTAAGTATGAAGCTGACAAAATTAAGGTTGAGTCGAACAATAGGTTATAATGTCAAGTCTTGTGACATAAGTATAAGGCTAACGAAGTTATATGGCTTAAATCAATACATAATTACTCCTATCCATGACTAATACGTATTCATAAAGGGCCGCGACTCATGTAAGTTTGCTCATTCGAGGAAGATCTAGAGCTTAAAGGGACACGACTCATGTAAGTCCTCCGACACAACGTGGATCACTCATGCAACTAACTTTGGGAGTGCCCCCATCGACAATTGAAATGAGGAGGTTTGAACGAACTCAATATATAAGGCAACCGACCTACCAAGCTCAATCTTATATCCGAGTCGAGGTATGTGTGCTGCCCCTCTCCCTAATTTTCATTGTCATTCCAAGTAAAATTCTATAAAACCGTGAGGAAAATGTGTAGATAAAAGAGAACCGTTTCAATAGAGATGTATACGTAATTTTGTCCAGCTCCACCACTCTGGTCATCAAAGCACTAATTAAAGCCGCAGAGCATCATATTTTCATTACAGGTGTAACAACCCAAGCTCACTACTAACAAGTGTTGTTCTATTTGAACTCTTTTCAGGCTTCCCCTCAAGATTTTTAAAACACGTTTGCTAGGGGGAGGTTTTCACACTTTTATAAAAAATACTTCGTTCCCCTCTCTAACCGATGCGAGATCTCACAATCCACCCCCCCTCCTTGGGAGCCAGCGTCCTCGCTTAGTGTCTGGCTCTAACACCATTTAGTGTCTGGCTCTAACACCATTTGTAACAGCCCAAGTCCACCGCTAGCATATATTGTCCCCCTCAAGTTTTTAAAACACGTCTACTAGGAAAAGTTTCCACACCCTTGAATGCTTCCCTCTCCTCTTCAACTAATATGGATTCTCACAACATGTCTACTAGGTAATACAGTGAGACCGTAGACCCGAACAAACGTGGAATTGAATTTGATATTTATATAACCATTGAATAGTGCCCCCCTACCTCCATCACCCTAGGTTAGGTTTTTTTTTTTTTTTTTTTTTTTTTTTAAATCCCTATTTCAACAACCCATGAGGACATGTTGTTGCTTAAAAAAATGGGATTTGAAAAACAAAAAGAGGTAAAATAATTGAGGAAATAATGAAAGCCCAATTTAGGGCAAAAACTGCACCATCTTTTAGGGCTTTTTATGAGTATCATCATTATTATAACAAGGGCAGCCAGGCTGACGACGCTGACGGGAGCAGAGCACAAAGACGAATTTCGAATACCACAAGGCCGGCCCCACGGCGGCCGGACGCCCCCCTCCCCCCTCCCCGGCCCCTTCCTCGCCTCGCAACCTCCAATTTTCCGTTCATACAGATTGAATAATGGTCCCATCCCAATTCCTTTCGCCTTTTTTCTTCTTTGTTTTTTTCTCTTCTTTTTCCGATCCGTCTTTTCAACTTGTGAATGTTTGCTTATCTTATTTATAATCAAATAAATTACAAGGATATGGAAATAGTAATAAATGGAAATAACAATAAATGGAAAGATACTATAGGAATAAGGCAAATGTTAGATATTTGCCCTATAATAAAATATCAAATATAATATATATGGTAAACTATAATTTATTACTAAATATCCTTAACACAACTTTTCTGATCCTTTTTCTGATCCTTTCTGACATTTTCTGATGTCTGGTTTTCGTTTCCTCCGTCAACTCCCACCGTCTTCTCCGCCGTATTGCCCTACCCTATCCGTTTACCCGGATCCGAACCCGCTTCCTCATCTGCCATCGCTAAAACGACGTCGTTTCTATTGCTTTAAAAGTTTTTTAATTTATTTCTTATTTTTGTTAAAAATAATTCTAAAATAGTTTAATCACTTTTTTATTATTTTAAAATCACTCTAGACCAAACAATTATTAATCATTAAAATAAATATAATTACAGTTTTAATCCGGATTTTAATTTTGAATGATTCCCCGCCACTTGAAGGCGGCATCCATAACACCATTGTAATAACTCATGTCCAGAATTTAAAATCCAAATTCGGCACCACCAGAAATCCCTATACAACATGGTTATATTACTTATTTTTAGTTTTTAAAAGTGAAGACGGTTGGACGATGAAAGTTCCGCATCCCCAAATTTAGAGAATGATTAGGTTTATAATCAAAGAATATTCTCTCCACGAGGCCTTCTACGGAAGCGCAAAATCACGAGAGCTTATGCTTAAAGTGGACAATATCATTTCAACCTAAGTGAACAATATCATACCAGTAGTATCCTCACATACCAATATGAGTCATTTCAACATGTTTTGTTATGGCAAAAATTTAGATATATTTTTAAGATAAAATCTAAAATTTAAAGGTATTTTTTATTAATTTATTCTATAATACGTGTTATTTTAAAATAAAATTTTATCGTATCTTTTCTAGTGTCCGTGTCATTCCATGTCATACTACGTGATTCAAAGCTATGCAATCAAAATTTGACACGTGTCACATTTAGTATCCATATGAATTTAAAATCAATCTTCAACATTTATTGGTGATTAAATAATACATTTCAATAAATTGGATTTTTATTTTTATTTCTCAGTGGAAACACAATAACTCCATTTCTCCCTTTTAAATAATGATATTAATTATTACATTAAATATAGCACCTGGTATTTAAAATAATAAATGAAATATTTAAATCACAACAACTTTATAATATAAATAAATATATTTTCAGTTAATTATTGAATATCTTGTCCCTTAATTATTGAATTACTAATTGAAACCACCCACTCAATTGTTTGTAAAATTTTATACTCAAACCGTTAATTCAATTTAGTTTTTTAAAAATTTTATATGAGAACAAAACACGGTTTATAAGAGTGTAGAAACCTTCCACTATCAGAGGCTTTTTAAAGCTTTGAGGGGAAGCCCGAGAGGGAAAACTCAAAGAGGAGAATATCTGCTAGCGGTGGATCTGGGCCGTTATAAATGGTATCAGAGCCAGACACCGGACGATGTGCTAGCCTTCTCGCTGTTCTCCGAAGGGGGTAGACGTAAGGTGGTGTGCCAGTAAGGACGCTAGGCCCCGAAAGGGGGTGGATTTGATGGCGGTCACACATAGATTGGAAGAAGAAAATAGTGCCAGCGAGGACGTTGGGCTCGAAGGGGGGTGGATTGTGATGTCCGGATTTGATGGCAGTCCCACATCAATTGGATGAAGAAAAGAGTGCCAGCAAGGACGCTAGGTCTTAAGGGGGTGGATTTGATGGCGGTCCCACATCGGTTGGAAGAAGAAAGAGTGCCCGTAAGGATGCTGGCCCCAAAGGGGGGTGGATTTGATGACGGTCCCACGTCAACTGGAAGAAAGAAAGAGTGTTAGCGAGGACGCTGAGCCCAAAAGGAGGGTGGATTATGATGTCCCACATTGGTCGGGGAGGAGAACAAAACACCATTTACAAGGATGTGGAAACCTTCCCCTAACAGACGCTTTTAAAGTCTCGAGGGGAAGCCCGTACTCATAAGCTATGCCGTGGAATGAACGAATACTAATTAAAAAAAATGCATTATTTACGCTATGATGTGTAGTTTTCGTAGATCCTCTTTTCATTATTAACTTAATAATTTCCTAACTAAACAATAATTAATTCTTAAACCAATAAATTTAATATTTAGCGATATGTCGTTTTTTTATTGCCCTTCTAGCTCGGGTGTTTTTATGGATGTGTCTCCGAGCCTTTTCAAATTTCTTCTATTTTAGGGCCGATAGGGCCGATAGATTTGACCTTGTTCTAAGACGATAAAAATAATAATAATAATAAATATGTTTATCTCAATGTTCCTCGAGGACTCAAGTAAATGGATTTGTACTACGGTAGATTGCAAAGTCTACTCTTGATATATGGTAGTTGTTATATTTGAAACGATACAACTTTAATAATTTGTATCGCATTATAACCGAAATTGAAAACTCGTTATATCACTATCGTGATGACGTAACTCATTGATCTCACGAAAAATAAAATAACAAGTAACCATAAAAGAACACTATTTAAATAGTGTTGTTAGTTAAAAGTATTTAATATTTAAAATAATGTGAAAGTCCAATTTATACAGGTGAGTTTGTAACAGTCCAATTTAAAATAATGTGAACATTATTTATATATTGCCACTAGATATCGACCTTCGTTTTAGGGTTTTTCTTGAAGTTTTAAAATGTGTCTACTATAGATAGGGTGTAGTCGTACTCCGATCAGTGTCTCGCATTGTTTGGGACTCAAGTGTGATGGGACTACCCGTAGCCAATAGTCCTCATGTGCCTCCGTCTCAATCGCTACATCAAACTCCACTTGAAAAGAAAATTGAAATAGCAGGATATATAAAATATAATCGGTAAGTAGCTTGAGGTGTAAATAGCCCACATATGCCTAAGCCTCCATTAGGTTCCACGTGGGCTCGAGACATGTTTTATCTTTCTATTATTTTATTTATTTATTTATTTTTCTATTTGCCTTGAGGACGATAATGTGTTTGTTTTTGCAATTTTATGGATAGAACTCAATATGGGTGCACGTTTTTGGGTTGAATTGTGTGAGGGAATTTCTTTGAACAACTAAAAAGTTCGAGTTGGTTGGATGGGTAACCCAACCCAACTAAAAAGTTTTCACAACCCCGATTGTTAAAAAAAATTAATTTTTTTAAAATTTTATTTATTTATTAAGTGAAAATTATAATATGTAGTTCAACACTATCATAAAATAAAGAAATTAAATACTGACATTCTTGAACCATTGGTGAATAAAAATACAAGAATAGATCCTGAAATTAAAAAAATAATAAAATTAATTAGCTTAAAAAAATTATTTCTAATATAAAAATGAGAAAAATATAAATTAGATATAACTTGAGATAATAAATAATAAATAATAAATAAGTTAGAATTTAGAATTATTTAAAATTTTATAACAAAATGTTTGAAATCTTTAAATATACTCTAATTTTCTTTCTAATAAATTTTATAAATCTTACGATCCATAAATTATAGTTTTAAAATAAAATTTAATAAAATAACTTAAGTCACACAGAGTTGATTGATTCTAACGTCGAATAGAAACACAAGGAAAAAAAAAACTCTAATTAATTAACACTTAATTAGCGAAAGAAATAGTTAGTTAATTATTTCGTTAATCAAATTACTCATTGGCGCCCTTTGCTTTGGACCATGGAGTTTTTGCAGTGAGCGATTGCACTTTGAATGGCGCTCTGCAACTCCTCCGTTGACGACGCGTTGCCGTAATTCGTCCTACTACTCGAATACATATTCCGAGACGATAGGATGCCGGAGTGGCTCGGCGATGACCTAATCGATGACGGACAACTCGAGGCTATGGTTCTTATTCTCGGATATCTCAAATTACCGGAAAATGAGTGCGATACTGCTCTTGATCCGCTTTCATTCCCGGAGTTGCTGCCTGAAAATTCAATGTTTGATGGTTTGTCCTCTTTACTAGATCTATCTGTTTTCGTCGTCCATTCCTGTTGCTGTTGCTGCTTTTGTGAATTTTTTCCGTATAACGGCTTGACTTTCTTTAAATACTTCCTGAAAACTTCCTTCGCGGAGGAGCTAATTTTCTTGATGTGCGATCCGGATACAGTTTCAAGGTCTGGATTGTTTTTCGTCGATTCTTTTCTAAACATTGAAGAAATTTTCGATAGCGAGAAGTACTTGCTCTTCTTAATCGGAATCTGCAAATTAGGATTGGAGTTGTTGTTGTTGTTGTTGTTATTTAGATTCTTCACCATATTGGAACCGAATCGCGCTCTGCACTCGTCGTCCTCAGTGACGGAGCTAGGTCTAGAGGAATCGCAATCGGCGAAAAGAAGAATGCCGCTGTTGAAGGAGGAGTGAGATTCGGTGGAATCGCGCGACGCGGTGGTGCTGTTAGTTTCGGAAGACGACGACGACGTTCTGGAGGAAGCGAGAATGAGCGTCCTGACCATGGAGAGGCGTGGGGAGAGATGGAGAGGAAGCAACTGGCCTTTGTAGAAGAGCTCATCGGCGGGACAGAGCGCGGTGGAGGCTTGATGAGGTGAAACAGAGATAGTGAATTCGAAATTGGATGATGAAGAGGAAGAGATAGAATGCGACGGCGATGAAGGTAACGTTTGCGATCTCGAACTTTTCGTCGTTCGTTTCCCCATCGTCTCTGCTACACGTACACACACTCAGAAAGTGGTGAACAGAAGAGTAGTAGCGCAACGTGTGAGATCAGTGAGTGAGTGACACGCGCCGCCGTGAAAATGATTAGTCGCCTTCATGGGGGTTGGGAATTGCTCAAAACAGTTGTCAGTGGTCAATGGTGGGATTGGAGAGTCACGTGGGGAAAACTGGTTAGGGTCCACTTGTTGTATCCTACCTGGAGTGTCTAGTATTTACAAGGAATGTTTTATTTCATTATCCAAACCATATGAGATCTTACAATTCACAGGTGTCTTCGCTAACACATTTTTAGTGTTTAACTCTGATACCATTTATAACAACTCAAGTCCACTATTAGTAGATATGCCCACTTTAGCTTATTACGTATCAATGTCAGCCTCACGGTTTTCAAAACATGTTTACTAGGGAGGCTTCCACACAGTTCTAAGAAATGTTTCGTTTCACTCTTCAACCAACTTGGGATCTTACAAAGTCACTTCCAAAAATTTGATACAACTCAAATCGAAATAAAATATAACCCAATCCAATTTTTATGATTTGAGTTGGATAATTCGTGTTGGTTAGTTATAGGCTCATATGAACATCTTTATTGTCATTTTTTATTATGATATTTTTAAAATGTAATAATTGAGAAAATGGGGTCGGGATAAATTAATGCATGGATAGACTTTGGCCGCTTTCATCGGCCTATAAAAGTCTTATTCTGGTTCGTATGTACATTAATGAAATTTGTTTAATTGGTATTGAGTCGGGTTGATTTTGAGCCATATAAACCATACACCTATACTATAGATGGGAAGGGTGTGGAAATAAGAAGCCTTTCTTATTCTTATATCCGCCTCCTATATCAATCTCCATCTTAATTAAAAAAAAAGATTATTTATTCTGATAGTAAAAAATGTTAAAATTTATAATAAATTAAATAATATTTCATAAGAAAAAAAATAATAATATAATGTTGAACTTAGTTTCTCAAAACTCAATTTTCGATGCAGGTAAAAAGTGGGTCAGGACGATGTGAAATATTTTTCTTCCTTGGTCTTGTTTAGCTTATGGAGAGAAATCTCTGGTCTATCCCTCCCCAAATGAAAATTGCTCGCCCTAGACGTGATGGGTTCCCACGAATCCTCGACTTTTTGGATTAAATGAACATCTCTGAGTTATACTCGTGAACTCTTTTCACCCATGATTAAAATACATTAAAAAAAGCTAATAACTTGTTTTTCTTCGTTCGTGATTTTTTTTCAATATATTTAGCGAAATATGATTTTTTGAATCTCACCTAAAAGGAAAGAGTACATCTCGATTACTATTGAGCTAAACTCACTCCGACTTCCCGACTTCCCGACTTCTTGATTTCTTTTGTGATTAAGTACCTAATAAAAAAAATTAACACTGTCGTCGTATGATTTACGAGTATAAATAGAATATGGAGTTTGCATTCTCATCGAGTTCAAAAATATAATTTTAATGTATATGGTTAAAAATTAATCATAAAATCAATGATAAATAAAATGAAAATTTCCAAATATGAATTGATTTGTTAATTTAAATAAGTTGAATTTTTTTTTAAAATCCAAAATTCCATTTATGTAATTTAAAATGTAATTTTGAAGATGGGCTTTTATAGTTTATTGGCCCAATTTGTCAACCGAGCCTGGCCCAGCCCATTTTGTAGACGCTCCATTTTAGGGTTGGGTGGAAATGTGGACCTCACCGTCACGGCATCACAGAAAAATAATAATTATTATATAAAGAAAGGAAAAAAGAAAAAAGAAAAATAAAAAATAAAAAGACGCCTCTCATTACCCACCAAGAATATTTGGATTAAATTGAAACAGCTTCCGATTCCCTCACAATTCTGAACTCATTTTCTTCGTTGCTTCATATTCCTCTTTCCTGTTCTTCAATTTTCTCATCTCTCCTTCTTCCTTCTCCTAATCGCTACTGCAACAGGATCACGGATAAGTTTCCAGGATTCCTCTCATCTGTTTCGGTAAAAAAATTGATGTTAATTTTGTTTTTGTTATTGTTGTTGATGATTTTCCCCCCTTGATTTCTTGATATTTGGCCTGGATTTGATTGTGGGTTTACGGGAGCTTGTTGATGATAGGTTTCGCGGTATTATGTGATATATGATCTGCTTTCTTCCTGGATTTTATGATTTAGACAAGATCTTGTTCCAATATGTGACGCTTGTATCCTGTAAATTGTCAGATACATGCATATGTATGTTCCTATCACTCAATTTTGTGTGAGCAAAGTTTCGTCGTCAATTGACGTAACTTGGGACCTTCATGCTCACCAAAATATGTATTTGATAGGGGACTCTTAGCAGGCAAGGTGGAGCGAAGAAGGAAGGAGGAGGGGGTTGCCCCATCTAAGTTCGTCTTAGGCTTTTCTACTTTGCTCCCTGAATTTTGAAAATTGAGAGATTATATGTAAAAGAGGAAATTGATTGTAAAATTTTGCTCCACCCTAAGAAAATTTATGGCTCTACACGTGCAGGGAATTTTTTTTTTTTTTTTTTTGAAGAAATTTTTATGTCATTGTCGCACTTTTGTAAACTTCAGAAAAATGAGTAGACTGTAGTGCAATGAACTTGTTAACTAGAGCGGCTGTTATTAAAAGAAAGAACAGAATTTTTGAATGGTGATGCTCAGTTGTTATGTAACTTTTATCGATAAAAACAGCTTGAATTCTTGAGTTCTCCTCTCTATTTCATCTATAGTAGCCTATTGTTCTGTCCAAAATCACAATGAAATAATTGATATGTGCAACTCTGATTAGTTGTCAAATTTCAACGATTTTGGTTAGGGTGTTTTCTGTAAAATGTTATATTCTTACGTACCTTTTTTTTTTGTTCCTGCCTTGGGGTGGGCTGTTATTTTGCTCAGGAAGAATGTCTCGTGTTCGGAATTTCAGCTCTCATGGAGGAATGGCTAATGATGATTACTGGATCACCATGAATCGATATGATGTCAGAAACCCCCATCAGATGACAAGTAGGAGCAATTATTATGATTATGGCTATAGCAACCATTTTGAATTCTCAGGACAGTATAAAGAGCCGGTTGATAGGTCTATTTATGCGAGGCCTGATATCTCAAACTACATCAGGCCTCATAACTCTCAGTCCTTTAAAAGGAGGAAGTTTTCTGCTTCACGTTGGGAGGATAGTGGGAGGTACCATTGGCAGGCACGGACATATGATCATGGACCTTCAATCTATAGCAATTTGGTCCATCCTCCTCCAAGATCCAACAATGATGTCTCTACATCTGCCAGCTGTAAAAGAGATCGCTCAATAATGGAAGATGATGAGCCTTCTTTCATGTCCAGGGATGAGATTGAGAGATGTTCACCTTCAAGAAAAGATGGTATTGACACGCTACGTGAAACACATCTGCGGTACACATATTGTGCCTTCCTTCAGAGTCTTGGTTTGCACCTTGAGTTGTAAGTAATCTAAATCTCTGATAATTACTTAGTTCAGGGAATGCACTTATTTATTATTTTACCAGTAAAATTATATTTGAGGTTTCCTCCCATTTATGGGCCTTGTGGATTGTTAACACTAGTCATTGTTTCTTGCAGACCCCAGACTACCATTGGCACTGCAATGGTTCTATGCCATCGGTTTTTTGTTCGAAGATCACATGCTTGTCATGATAGATTTGTAAGTTCTTTTGTGTAAAGGCTTGCGAGTGTCTAGAAGAGTAACGTGAAATATAGTTAACTTCTAGATTCTATGTTGGTTTTGTGTAAAGTCTTGCCAGTGTCTAGAAGAGTAATGTTTACATTCATTACTCTTGAAATATAATTAACTTTTAGATTCTATGTTTGATGCAGATTAAACTTGTAAATCTATGGATCGATATCTCTGTTAATGAAATTCCTTTGGAGAGAGTAGTTCTTTATGCTGCCTACATTTGTTGCTGTAGTCAATGATAGATTTGAGAAATTTTCTACTATTTTCTCCTCTTCTCATTCATTCTCTTCTGTTTTTCTATATCCCTATGTGGAACAGAAGTGCTTATTTGATGATCTTTGTCTTTTGTCATCCAATTTTAGCAGAAATCATAGAGTATACCTATCTAGTGTTCATGTTGATTGTATCAACTTATTATGCACCCTTGTTGCATGAGGTAATTATTTTGCATTAAATGGTTCATTTTGTTTACACACCACTGTTTCAGTTGATTGCCACTTCTGCACTCTTCCTTGCTGCAAAATCCGAGGAGACACCACGACCTTTGAACAATGTCTTGCGAGCTTCATCTGAAATTCTGCACAAACAGGATTTTAATCTCTTATCTTACAAGCTTCCTGTTGTGAGCATCCTCCGAACTTTTCATTGTCTATTATATTTTCTTGCTTACCCTGCACGTAGCTTGTTCTTTGTGAAGTTTTTTTTTTTTTTTTTACAAAGATATGCTAGAATACAATCACATGATTTCTGAGAATAAAAAACCTTCATTTCCTCTTTTTCACCAATGTCCATATGTTTTTGTTCATCCGATTGGGTTTCAATATGACAAGTGGTAGGACTATAATAATAGTCCTGATAAATCGTTAAGAGTGGGATAATCACTAAACTATAGTTCTATCAAAATCACTATACTGTTGCTTAGATACTAATCAATTTTGTTCATGGTTCTTTTTTCTTTGCAAATTATAAATACTATTGTAATGACATCTTAGTATGCATCTTGAACAGGATTGGTTTGAACAATATCGTGAAAGAGTAACAGAAGCTGAGCAATTGATACTGACTACTCTAAACTTTGAACTCAACGTTCAACATCCCTATGCTCCTCTTATGTCTGTTCTTAATAAGATAGGTCTTTCACAGTCCATGTTGGTGAATCTTGCACTGAACTTGATCAGTGAAGGGTAAGTTCATCACTTTATTTATTCCACCTGTCCATTTGATTTTAAGAAAATTTACAGGCAATATGTTTGTACCTGCAAGATAGAGATCTTGCAATTTATTGCTTCTCTGCAATTATTTTGTCCTTGCAACTGCTTACAGTAATCTTTCTGGATTGTCTAGTCTATTTAGCAAGCATGTCCTTGCAATTGTGAAAAGTAGGTCAATGATGTAACATTAAGAATTAGATTTGGGATATGTGGGTGCAAGAACCTCAATGGAATGACAAATTTCTTGAATTTTGGCGTTCATTGTGGCACAAAAGAGGATGATGCACTGGTGATCTTCTTTCCCCTCTAGGGATCAAAATGGTGTGTTACTTGTGTCAATTATTTTTTTGTTAGAACAAGCTACACTTACACATTTATCCTACTGTGGATTATTGATTCTTCTGGCGTGCATATAATTTGCAGGATCTATGCTAGCATGCTCGCCTATTTGATATACTTATCTGGCGGATTGATATGCTGTTCTTCGAAACTTATGTTTTACAAGTGAAGTAAATTTAACCATGAATAAACCCCATCGACTTGGTACTTGGTGCTAATGATTGCCAATGAGCCTGCTGGATCACTTTCTATCCTTTCTTAACAAGAATATATAGTTTTCCTCCTCTCCCTGGAGCGTGCTCTCTAGGCCGCCATTAATTTGCCTATACCTTGAAAGAAATGGAGTCATTTCCTTATGAACTTTTTGACTCAGAAAGGCCTTTGTGTGGAATTGAATCTGCTATCCATTACCTTTATAACCTAGAGAACCGCTGCCAATGATTTTGGCTTTGTTCTTATTTCCCAATGACGGATGGTCAAGTGAGTCTGGTAGAGAATTTTTTCTGATCAACCTCTTTGGATGAACATCTATCTAGCACAGAATAAGTCACAATATGGATTTAGATCTATTATAAAAAAAAAAATTTGGTCTTTCTTTTCAAGATTCAAGTGGTCCATATGACTCAAAAATCATGTCTAGTCACCAGGTTCTTGATGTTCTATTAGCATGCATACAAGTAAGCAGCCTTTCAGTTGAAAACTTAAATTTGGGCCTACGTATGTTTGTAAGTTGTTTATTTTTCTGATTGCTGTCTATGCTTGGTGAATTATCATTTGGTATTTTCTGTTAATCATTTTGAGTCGGGGAGGGTGGAACTTAAAATGTGGCGTTACTATAACTGGTTCAGGATGGGCTGATTCAGAACAGGGATATGGGTTATCTTGATAGGCACGGAATGTAAATTGTGGAAGATCATCAAAAAATTAAAATAAAATGATTTTGGGTCTCCCCCTCCCACGGAGAGAACATAAAATGCATGCATTCTTATATAGGCGGCCAGCAGGTTCTTTTCCATTACTTTGTATGCCTCATTTTCCCTTTTATCCCATCCTTGATTGACAGATATATAACTGAAACCTTTTGAACTTTATTTTTTTGAAGATGATGTTTTTTTTCTGTCGTTTGTGTTTTGTTTCCATCACAGTGAAACCTTAAGTTTTGTTGTTTCACACAAATGATGTAATACAATTATCTTGGGATGGTTTGCTTTTGAAATTTATTTGCTGATCTGTAAAATTTTTATGGGTTTTTTTCTTCTTTTTTTTTTCTCCCTCTTCTCGTAGGAGTTCCATTCATTGCACTTTCACATCTTCTTTTTTGGTGTAATCTTGCTCCTTCTGCTTTCGGTCATTCATCTTTTAAAATCATGTAAATATCTACCTCTCTTAGCAATTTTGGAATGTTTAAGAAACCATGGTTTTTTAAACTCTGTTAACAATCATCATGTTGATGGACTTTCAACTTATCTGTCTTCTTCTTTTTTTTTTTTTTTTTTT